ATCTTGCTGCCAAGGCAGCACTCAACAAATCTGTGACACCACTTCTTATTCCTTACTCTGATTACAAAGCTGCTATAAGATCTTATATCCGTGATCTGATGCAAAAGAAGTGGGACACCCAAGTAGGTATTAATAAATTACATGCAATAAAACCCTACATTGGTTACACCTACTTGGGTTGTCAGTCCAGATTTGAGGAGGTCATTATATGACGATGTCGCATTGGCCATACCAGATATACTCATGAATATTTATTAAAAGGCGAAGATCCTCCGTTTTGTATCCCTTTGTGATGAAGGATCACAGTCAAGCATGTCTTGCTTGACTGCATTGAATATTCCATCACAAGGGATATCTATTTCAAATCCAAAACTCTGAAGGATCTTTTAATAATGTCAGTTCTCATTTAGTTATTGCATTTTAAAAAAAAAATAGATTTGTTGACTGATTTGTAAATAGTTAAATATTTTATTGTTGGTAGTTTATATTAGTAACTGAGATTGTTAGTGGCTGTACCCTCAAAGGGGTTGACGTAGCGTAAAATTATTGTCCTCCTGAGGGGTACGTAAGTCCCAAAACTTTCAAAGTCAATTTAAGTGTACCAGGTTTTTAATCGTAGAATATGTGTGCTTTTAATTTATGGCTAGATTTTCTTCTGTCGCCAATGGCTGAAGGGATGGTGTAAATCCAACTAGGGTCCATGCAGGTAGCAAAAGTAATGTAAGTCCCCATGGTTCCTAGTATGGTGATCTACCTTCAGTTGTTGGCGATCTATAGCCCATTTTTACATTGTATTGTCTTCTTTAATTGGAATATTTTAGCTTTGTTCGCTAGTTTTATGTTGATATCTGTGATATTCTAGTTGTTTTACTGCCCTTCGTCGGCAGGTTTTTTATAATATACATATATTTCATTCTAATATCGAATGTTCTCGTCACGATATGGCTGAAATATTGCCGATGTGACGTTAAATATTAACTCGAATCATAACGGATATAATCATTTATTTCTTTATGTACAGTTTTCTCTATGAGTTCTTCACGAGTACACATCCATTCATCCATGAATCATCAGCCTAACGCAAAATATAACTTTATATAAGGATAACCCTCAGGCATCAAGCAACTTGTCAGGAGCACTGTACAGACACAACGTGTAACGGAAGTAAGTTAGGTACAACTGAATTGCTCGTTCCAGTCGAACCATCTAAAATTGGAAAGCACACGAGTTTTTCACCTGATTTCCAATAACCACGGATATTTTGTTACAAGATAAATTAATATAATTCCGCATCGGATGAGTCTTAAAACAAATAGTAAACTATACATTTAAAACTAGATGACTCATTACATTTAACGGAATCAACGCCAAAAAGCAAAAAAGAAAACATGGTCACGAATAGGATTGATAATATATCAAAACTGCCTGTACACCACAATAACCGCTGCATGACCACAAATGTAACTGGAATTATTATATGGATTTAAAAGAAATATAACTGATTGTGTATGAATACTGCATCTGGTACCAACTAATTCATTCACAATTGTCTTCAATTTCACAATTTATGGTATTCCGTAGTTTCAAATTAAATCAAATATGAAAGATGAGATAACTTCATAAAACTCTTTTGTGCAAAACCTGCGGCGAGCAGTGGAGATGGATGAACTGCAGGTCAATGCCCTCATTTATCATTATATTAAAGTGGAACTATCTGAAAGCTTCATTTATCTCGTCACGCAATCTCATATCATCATGCTTTGTGATCAACGTATCAGATGAGGTTGTGCTCTTAAGGTTGTTTGTTTGTATATTTAGTTAATTTAATTTCTGCAATACCGACTCCTTACATATATAACGTTAATGGGAAGTAAAACTGTCCGTTTTACGTCTGGGTGCGTTTTGTCATATTGTTGGAGCTACAACCAACAATATTCAAGATGTGTGACGATGGTCTGGAAATAACAGCCCGGACCAAAGAGTCGAGGATGGGATCATCAATATCGGTCTACATAAATGGAATATGATGATATGCATCAAATGAGTGAGAGATTGAGTTAAGATTGAAAGTCACATAGGCAATATTTCAGCCATATCGTGACGAAAACTGCATCAAATGAGTGCAAAGGAAGCAAACAATATGAAATGAACGAATATCATCGCCTTGTTGATTCTATATTGATTTATGTATCAGTGTGTTGTTGTTGAGTTGGGCTTTACGTCACATCGGCATTATTCCAGTCATATAGTGACGGGATCAAGTCTGCATTCATGAATCATTGTGAGCAGTGAGTAGTCGGTGGATGGATCCCTACCGTATTTATAGCAATATATTTCTGAGGTAATGTGTAATGAGGTAATTCGGTGAGTGAGTGAGTGAGTGAGGTAAAAAGATGCAGTCACGTCGGCATCTCTTTAGCCATCACTGGAGCAACTTCATAATAACTAATTAAAAGTTAAAATTAAAAGCATGTCGACAAAGGACACTAAATACAAAATACCTACAGTATTACAGATATAGATGTCAAACGAGCAGGTAACCCAACATTTATTTTAAGACAATACAATATAAAACGGACTATAGATCGCCAGCAACTGCAGATAGAAAACCATACTACATACCAGGGAGCACAGGGACTTACAGTACCTTTGCTACTTACTACATGAACTTCCATCTACGCTAATGGGACACAATGACAAGCATCAAGAAAGTCAACGGTTCCACTAGATCAGCTTACTTCTGACCAGGGGCCTCAGGGCAAGGGTGAAGTCGGGAATGTGTTTAACAGTTTGAATCAATGCACAAATGTCACGCGGACCTATTCGTATGTAGCAATATATATCTCGTTCATCATGAGGGCTGTTGATGCTACAACCTTACTTTAAACTTGAATGCCTTTAAATCATACCAGTCCATACTTTTAACAGTATTAAATATTTTTTCCAAACAACTGTTTCAGCGACAATAAAGATATCAACACAAGCAAATTACTGACGGATATATGTGTGTGGAACGTATGATTATGCTCTTTTCAAGCACTTGGGGTGATCATTAAAACACAGAAAGGGCCACTATGTCTGGCGGCTATTTACAGACCCCCACAAAGCAAACAGAGTATTTGCTCATTTACACTCTTTTACGACGAGTTTTCAAAACTGCTAGAACTTCTGGTCAGTTCCAATGACCATCTAATACTTACTGGTGATTTCAACATTCATGTCAGTGATGTGAACAACAGGAGTGCAGCGCAGTTTTTGGATGTACTGTGTTCTGTTGGCCTTGAGCAACATGTTACTTCCTCTACACACAAGAGTGGGAATATTCTCGATCTTGTGATCACAAAGTCGTTGGATGTCATAATTTCGTCTATATCTGTTATTGATCACCAAATATCAGATCACAGTTCTATCTTCTGTAGTCTGTCTTGTACAAAACCCAAAAGCACGAGTAAAGAAATCGCCTACAGGAAAATCAAAGAAATATCAACAACAGTGTTCACTGAGGATGTTTACTTGTTTGGACTTAACTGCAAAGTTAGCTGAGCATGAACGTGTTGACTGTAAAGTTAACCGCTAAATGACTGTCTGACATCAGTGCTGGACAAACAAGCACCACAACTGAAAAAGAAAGTTCAGACCTAACACCAAATGGATAACAACGGACGTTCATAAAGCTAAACATGCCAGAAGACGAGCTGAAAAACTCTGGAGAAGGCGCAAATTGGAAATAGACAGAGTGTAATAAATGGAGAGAAATAAGGTCACACAGCTTATTCACATCGCGAAAGCGGAGTACTACAAAACCTTTATTACTTTATTACAAAAAGACTATTTGCTGTAACTCAATCTTTGATAAAGCCAAGAGGAAAAGTTACCATCCAGTCATCGAGTGTCAATGAAGAAAAAGCAAACGACTTTGCTGCCTTCTTTCTGAAGAAAGTTGAAGACATACGTTCTGCTCTATCTGCCGGTGAACCAAGCGTAACGCCTCTACAGTATGATCCACAGTTCCCAGGTCAAACACTAAAAGTCTTCAGACCTGAAACAGCCACAGAGATTGACAGTCTCGTTGTGAAGGCAGCAAGTAAAACCTGCGCCTTGGACGTGTTACCAACATCTGTGCTGAAGAACTGTAGGGATCCCTTGGTTGGTCCTATTGCCGACATCGTAAACTGTTCTCTCGACTCAGGAACCGTTCCTTCATCCTTCAAATGAGCACTTGTTACTCCTCTCATACAAAAAGTGACATTAGATGAAACACTGCTGAACAATTTTCGCCCGGTATCCAATCTCCCATTTCTGGCTAAAGGTTTGGAAAGAATTGTATCCCTACGTCTCAGGGAGCATCTTCATCATAACAGCCTTAGAGAAGAATTTCAGTCTGCCTATAAGAGGAAACACAGTACCGAGACTGCACTACTGTCTGTCCAAAATGACATCATGCATTCACTGGACAATCAGGAAACAGTTCTCCTAGTTCTGCTAGACCTCTCTGCAGCTTTCGATACTGTTGACCATGATATATTGCTTCAGAGATTGGAACAAACAGTTGGTATTGGCGGCTCTGCACTTCAGTGGTTCAGATTGTACCTAACTGACAGATACCTTCAAATTAAAATTGATGGATCCAGATCACAAGAATGTGAGCTGCACTGTGGTGTCCCACAAGGCTCTGTCCTTGGTCGTCTCCTTTTTAACATTTACATACTGCCTATAGGAAATATCATCCGACAGCACAATGTCAACTTCCATGGATACGCAGACGACAACCAGTTGTATATAGGAACAAAACCTACCCAAGTAGTTGCTTCCAAGTTACAGCTTGAACATTGTATCAGAGATATTCAACAGTGGATGACAGCAAATGCACTCAGATTCAACAGTTCCAAAACATAATTCATGAAAATTACAGTACAAAATCCCAGATGTAACTCTTAAGATTAGTGGCAGTCATATCAAGCAATGACGTGCGAAATCTGTGAGTCAAGTTTGACAGAAACATGACGATGAAAAACCATGTCAAGTCAACATGCAGATCTGCCTTCTTCCAGCTATTGAAGATTAGCAAGATCAAGAAATACCTTGACAATGACAGTCTGAAGACAGTTATCCAAGCCTGTGTTACATCACGTCTTGACTATGGAAATGCCCTCCTCAATGGGACTACTGCCACTAACATCAAACTACTGCAACAAGTGCAGAACAGTGCTGCGAGGATGCTGACTGGTACCAAGAGAACTGACCACATCACCCCTGTCCTGAAATCACTCCACTGGCTACCCGTAGAGCACCGCATCACTTTCAAGACTCTTTCTATCGCATACTCAGCACTAAATGATGAAAACTCCCCAGCCTATATTAAGGACATGTTACATCACTACCAGCCCACAAGAGCTTTAAGATCAGCCGATGATAAATTACTTCATGTTCCTAAAACTAAAACAAAGATGGGCGAAGTGGGTCTTTTTTTGCAGCTCCAAAACTGTGGAATGCCGTACCACTGGAAATCAGAAATTGTGAAACAAAAGACTCTTTTCTAACTAATCTGAATCTTTTTTGAATATCTTTTTTCCACTCACTTCAACAAGCGCCGTTGAGCAGTCATGTCCAATCTGGAAACCAGGCTCTATACAAATCAATTATCCTTCATTCATCATTCATTCATTGTACATTTCAGATAATTATGCCGTATGCATGACCTCACTTCTGGAATATGTAAAACATAGTGTTCCAACCATACACGACAAATACACGTGTATGTCTGTCGCACAAACATCATGAATTCCTATTGAAGAAATGGTTGTCTGGTCTGCTGGCTAAAGTTTTGTCTCGTCACACCAAAGGTGCAGGCTCGATTCCATACACGTGTAAAACACGTGAAGCCCATTACTGGTGTCACCAGGCCGTTCTCACTGTCTCAACCATCAGGCCCTTGCTTCAGAATTTTCAAAATAAATGTTTTACATATAGACTTAAACCCTACAAGACAATTATTGTTTTATGTTTGAGCTAATAACTAGGGCTGCACGGTATTACCGGTATACCACAATACGAAATTGTAACAATTACGTATCGCGATACGTTTATGACGTACCAGTATACCGCCAAAGATTTATTTGTTCAATTTTAACCCATTCAACACCGCACATAAGACTTCCGCCTGTACACCCACTAAATTTTAACGATGAGGAAATATATATATATGTATATTCAGGTAATATAGTCTTTCCAAAATATTGGCAACGGGGCCACTTAAAAATTGTCAAAGAGCAAAGTATGGACGTTTCGAGGAAATCATTAAAATTGAATAAACTAATGATTAAAATCAACAATTTTCAGAAAAGTTGTCAAACGTACATCTAAGTTACTATTTCCATCCTTTCGTTCGATCATGTTATGTAATTAAGTAAAGCGATATCTCGGCTTTCGTCACCTCGATCTTCATGCTCGGACACGATGTTTAATGAGAAAATATTTGCATAAAGAATATCTGTCACAGGTCGCCACCTAGCACGATACGTCCAATAAGTTCCATAATGTACGTATATATGGCGATTTGTTGCTTAACACGTTCAGAATAGCTATATTGTACCCAAAACTTTTGTCTAAAAGTTTTCGTTTATGAGGACGGTATCCATTGCTGTAATATGATTGGCTTACGAGCATGATTTTTACCAATCACGAACCTTATAGCAGACTGTGGGGGAAAAGCGTAATTAGAAACCAATCTTTATCCCCCAAAACCGCTTCTTACAACTGCGAAAATACTCCTGGCAAGGTTACTGTGATATTATTGATGTTTGGAGCTTTGGAACAATACCCGCCATCAAATGAATCTTCTAGAGTGCTGTTCATACGGAGCTTCGAAAACGGAGGCATTTCCCAATGTTGTGTCATGTTACCGGGTGGAAAAGCCACGGTTATCGGGAAATAGGCGACCATACATATTATTTAATTCATCTTTATACAATAATATTCTGATTACGTAAAAATGAAAATATAAAAGAAATAGGTAAGAGGATATTATGGCATCTTACAAATGGATTAAAATAGCGGGAGTTTACGTCTCCTTCGTGGTTGATATGGACATTTTAAGTGTGTAAATATGTATTACTATTGGAAATAAATGTATTTAAGTTGAAGTTGTATTATTTGAATAATTGGATTAGACCTAAAAAAATTAAATGCTGTATGACATAGCAATAATGTTTCACCAGCTGATATTTTCCTTGATAAACGTAGGCTTCTATCTTATTATAAGGTGATGTTTCTAATGTTTCATTTATTTCATTATTCTATTCAGTCTAAAGAAAGTGTACTTTACCTGATACAGAGTGATTTTTGCCCATCGTGAGTGTTTTGTTAAATCATTTCTTTATGCCAATGTGTACCAAACGTCATTCATGAAATAGGTAATGTTGATATATACTTTTATTCAAAGACAAAGGTGCAGAAATCATCGTTTTGATTAGAATGGGCACTTTAAGATCATGTCACATGATCGTGACTTCAATTAAGTTTTTCTTGAGTAATACAGATGTGTACAGTAAATTCTTTAACTCTTTAAATTATTTGAAATTCAACATCCTTTGCTGTTTAAAGAATTTAAAGTATATACATAGTATGGGTGGGTCGATGGAGGACATGGTTTAAGCTAGTTTTAGTTGAATTTGTCATATATATGAAATGAGAAATCATACATTTATATGCGTTAACTTTCCTTTGGACAGCAGTTACAATTAAAAGAAACACTTGTTGAAAGGGGTTTTTATAGTAAAGCGTAGGGCTAGTAATGTTTTGGAAAGGACTAGTGAAATACAAAATCCACTAGCCCGGAGGGCCAGTTAAAATCTTTAGTGAGTGTCGATCCCTGTTGTTTTAAAATAAATATATAACAGAAGAATGTTCTGGATTTTCCTTTTCTCAATTTGAAAGAAGCTATACAATGCACAATGGTTACTCACATATACTGTGATTCAATTTGAAGGTAAAAGAATATTACCAAGTGGACAGATCTCAATAACTGTTTTTTCACAATACATTGCAATACGTATCGCAATACAGAAAAGTGTATCGCAATATATCGCAATACGAAACTTGGGGCAATACACAGCCCTACTAATAACAGTGAACCGTTATTCCCGTGCCTATATGCTTATGCATGACTTGTAAACAACGATAGAGGTCAGTGGACACTGTTTACGTGTACGTATTAGCTTATGAAAAATTCCGTGTCACAATCCCGTTTGAATCTGTGAAGCTTGAATATATAATGTTGCATAATTTTGTATAAGTATCTGAACTGGCATGTACGTTTATACATTGTGATGTGGTTTAAGAAGTTTTGGAGTGAACCAGGTGTTGTGACATTTGTGACCAAAATAAGATATGTGCATGTTAAACGCTAACATTAAAATCCTTCACTGTTTCCTAATCACAAGACCTCTTATCTACCTTGCAGACGTTATGGAGACACGAGCTTTAGAGGCTTGTGTTAAATATTCAAATTACCCAATAAACATATACGATGTATAGATGTATACTTTACATATGCCAAAATTACTTTGCAACAAAGATTTGTCGTAAACTATCACATTTATCAACACGTTGTTGAATGTTTGTGCAGGAGTATTTTTAGGATTGTCTGGTATTTTTTGTTTAGCCCTAGTGATCAAATACATGACCGTCGATATACGCAATTTGGATAGGATGGCATGTGTTAACCAAGTCAGCGAGACGAGGTCTTCCCACTTACCCAACTCCTATTGTTTCAGTAGAAGAAATCACTGGGGTGTGATAATCCCCTCTAATCCCTTATTTTGTTCCCTGTAAAATAGTATCCGGGACCAAATGGGATTTACTACTTTTGACTCAGTGTTTGTCTATATTATATATAGACATTTATATCAACATCATATCACATATTACATCAATTATATAATATACAAGTAATCAACTTCATATCACATATTACATCAATTACATGATATACAAGTTATCTACATCATATCACATATTACATCAATTATATAATATACAAGTAACTGTTAATATCTTTTAATCTCCCCAGCAAGTGGGGTAAGTGGGAATGAGCCAGCGCCTCTTTCAATTAGTCGCTTCTTTCCACAAGCATGGGTTGCTGAAGACCAACGCTAACCCAGATCCTCCACGTTCAGCATTTACAGGAAGTAGAATATGTGTTCAAGAAGGGAACAAAAATTGACGAAGGACCATATTGATTAATGCATGTGGCAGAAATGCAAACCTAGAGGAATACATGTGGGGGTGCATGCAATCAATAGAAAGGGAATCACGTCAACGCGTTGTTGAAACGACAGACTGATTCTTTAGAACTGATAACATTCCAACATGAATAAAGGAGAGTGACTGCTTTTTACCCCTCTTTGTGAGAAAACGACACAGTAAAGATGGTTTTGGACATATTCCTCTAAAGTGAAGCGAACTAATAAGAATATGGTGCTGAGAGGCCACGGTTTAAAAATCCGGCATTTGTGTGTCTTAGAATCTTTCAACACAAACCCATTTTTATGTTTTGTATCCCATTAACAATAATTTCAGACTATTAATCACATGGCAGCCCAGGTGATAACGTACGGTATGTTTATAATTACCTAAAATTACACATGAACTGCGAGAAATGAATTCAGCGAACCAATAAAATGGGAAAAATAACTTAATGAAGACATTAAACATTTGGAATACGTAGAAGTACAAACAGAATACAAACAAGTACAGATAAAAACAACTGATTTAACGCATAAAAATTGTTTCCACAAACTTTTGTTCTCACCAGGAGACAATTTTCAATATTCACAAGCCTTTTGTATGTTTCCCAACAAGAACGGCAACACTCAAACTCAAGTTATATTTGTGTTTATAAATATTAATTATCGATTATCTGTATATAAGAAAGATGTGTCTTGCTTCAATAGTCTGCACGTCATAAATACACATCAGGGCTATTCTATTTCCTTTGTGATCAGGGGCGGTGGGGTAGCCTAGTGGTTAAAGCGTTGGCTCGTCACGCCGAAGACCCGGGTTCGATTCCCCACATGGGCACAATGTGTTAAGCCCATTTCTGGTGTCCCCCGCCGTGATATTGCTGGAATATTGCTAAAAGCGGCGTTAAACTAAACTCAGTCAGTCAGTCCTTTGTGATCAAATATACATCGTATAATAAAGTGGGACAGAATACCATCTTCCATGAATACACTCGTTTCGTGGAATTTCATATCCATAAGAAAACCCTTATATTTTGATATATACTCGTATTGTGAAACATCCTGAGCAACTTCTATGATTGATACCAATTTGAACTCTTTATGTGAACAATAACCACGGAAAGATTACATAATTGTGAAAATATATTTAACCATTTAAATTGCTCCTGGTCTTCCAATATTCCAATACTTTCATCTGAATCAACAGCTATATC